GTGGGATAGCATATTCTGGGCCAAGGAAGTGATGAATCAAGTGCTAGTAAGAGTGCAAGTTCAACTATATACATAGCGAGAAGTTTAACCATTTTGATATTTATTTGCACACCAGTAGGCACAAACTAAATGCAAATTAGACAAAACATAAAAATGAAAATACCACACTTTATTTTGCAAATTATGGATACAAAGAACTCTATGGAAACAGACCTTTAAAATGTTCTAAAGGGGTTTTTTAATCCCACACAAAACATACATATTAAACAGAGCTCTTGTACAGGTTAATATAGCTCTTACATTCCTAAAACCACCACCAGAGATTCTATTGTTTTGAATATGAAATTAACTTAATGTTTAGAAAATTTTAGACAGCAATGGTATTTTTTAAGAAAACTTTACAGTTCTTGAAGTATCAAATAGAAAGTTGAACAAGATGGTCTAATCATCCGCATGTAAAATACAAACAAACAATAATAAATGGCCCGAGGTGGTCTGACTGTACTGAACAACAGTAGTACAACCTACAGGGATGATTCTGGAGTGCCAAGATAGCTGGACACAACCCATGTATGACAGACAGAGGTATACAACTGTAGATCAATGTTCAAAATGCTAGCAAGTTACTTTTTAAATGAGAAAGGACCCCAATTCTGATTGAGACTTTTGGGTATTAACATAATTGAATTATTTACTACTAATTACAATAATGAAAAGAATAAAAAGCAAAGGAGAAAATACATTTCAGGACAGTGAGAATGCACATTTCCCAGATCAGTTCAGATGCTAAAAATACAAGAGGACATTCATGAAGGAATTAGCCTATACCTCTAATGGATAATAAACAGCTTTATATGTCTGAAAATGATTCCCAGGTTTGTGGAGGGGCAATTTTATGATCCAGAAAAGAGACTACAGCCTATTTATGAAAGGCGGGATATGGAGAAGTGGAAATAATAAGGAAGCTTGGCACTGGTAAGCATAAACTACAAAGGCAGTAAGGAACAGATGCATAGAAAGCAATGGTGCTCCACCTCAAAAAACAGATTTTATGGAAGTTAAGAAAAGCAGCAATCACGATGGAAAGGGTGGCACACTATTAAAATCTGATAAAGTGAACTTGGGTTGATGAAAACTTGTGCTCCATATATCTTATTTATGAAGACTATAAAGGAGCATATCTACCCCGCCTTCTGATTATTAAAATCTACCAGTTGGTAAGTTGGTCGAGAATTGCAAGAGATCCCATAGCAAACACACAAAACTAAAATTCTCTTCTTATATAGAAAAATGTACAGAATAAAGTATTCATTCTTGCCTTATAATGGACTGCTCAAAACAGATAAAAATACCTTGTGTGTAAATCCTATACAAATAACCAATTAAAGGCTTGTGAGCAAAAGATAAATATAAAAATGCAGAATGAGTTAAAGGTAGCTACAATGGATAAGGGGAAATAAGAGTTTTAACAGAAAGAAGGTTAACACATGCACAACTGAATTTGTAGAGTATGGTCAACCTCAAAATCCCTACTTGTATTTTCTCCTCCGAGACCTTCAAATCATTAATAGTTAAATAGGCCCTTTAGTTTTTTCCAGCCAAATGCATACAATTCAGCTCAATTTGTATTATCTTTTTCAGATGGGCTGCACTAACCTATCCTTGTGGTAAGTTCTCATCAGTATGTTTTCCAATATGGGCCATGTGTTTTATAGTCATGCTCAGCGTTGGTTGCATTTAATCAACTTCATGGTTGGTTACCGGTTTTTTTATAAGCTGAATATGAGCCAACACTGTGCCCTTGTTGCAAAGAAGGCTAACAGCATACTGGGCTACATTAGTAGGAGTTCTGCCAGTAGATCTAAGGAATTGATTACTCCCCTCTATTTGGCACTGGTGAAGATATAAATGGAGTACTGTGTCCAGTTTTGGGTCCCCCAGTACATAAGGGATGTGGACAAATTGAAGAGAGCCCAGCTGAAGGCAACGAAAATGGTTAGAGGACTGTAGAGCATGAGGAGAGGCTGAAGAAACTGCGCTTATTTAGTTTGGAGAAGAGAAGAGTACAGGAGGATTTAGTAACAGCCGTCAGCTACCTGAAGGGTGGTTACAAAGAGGATGGTGCTAGACTGTTCTCAGTGGTGGAAGATAACAAAACAAGGAGCATTGGTCTCAAGTTGCATCAAGGGAAGATGGGATTAGATATTAGGAAAAACTCTGACGAGGAGGGTAGCGAAACACTGAAACAGGCTACTCAGAGAGGTTGTAGAATCTCCATCCCTGGAGGTTAAGACCTGTGTAGATAAAACCTTGGCTGGGAAGATGTAATTGATGATACTCCTGCTTTGAGTAAGGGGTTGGACTAGATGACTTCTTAAGGTACTTCCCAATCCTAATTTTTTATGATTCTATGATACTGAACAGCATCTGCTTCCTGCTCAAGCATGATCAGGTAGGAGGTCTGAGTCATCTGCAGTGTCAAGATCAATCCAGGGACTTATTAGTAGCTTGTGTAAAGGAATTTGTTTCTGGGAGAAAAACAGGACTTACCAGATGATTTAAAACCTGGAAAGGGGCCATCAGAATCTTAACTGGAAATAAACAGGGTTTTAAGGTGACCAAAAGGGAGAGTTGTGGTGCTAATTAGAAAGGGATTGGAAAAACTGATCACTGAAAGCAGGGGCAAATAAGCACACAGCTAGCAACAAGGCTACCTTGAGGTGACAGGAGGAGAAAGGTCTACAGTGTGCAAGAGACCAAGATCTTACCTGTGAACAAGGAAAGATCATTTTTGAAGCTTGAAACTGGGGAACAGGGAGCCTGAGGCCAGAAGTAGAAGTGATGGAAAGGGAAGAGACTACTATACCCTGTGTTTACAGCAGGGCTAATTAACTTAGGTGGAATGCTGTTCTAAAAATGAAACTTCATCTGGTAACTCACTCAGCTCTGAACTAGCCAACTGGAGTATCTAGCCATACATGGCACTGCATTGTGCTAGGTATCAACACTCAGAATCCTAAAGATGCGTCTGTATGGAAAACATGACCTATTCAATTTTGTAAGTGTTCACTGTGAAATTATTTTCAGGATGGCCAGTTGCCTCAAAATGACTTTGCTCTCCTCTGTTATATTTCTTAATGCAAGTCTTTTCCATCTCAGTTTCAGATGATGTTCATTCCAGCAGTACTGCATCTACTGATCTAATTTCAATACCTAAAGCCATGTTGCTGTAAGCCTCTAGATGCCACCCTCTTAGGCAGCAGCAATCACTGGCTTGACTGACAGTAACCATATATATTATGATCAACTTGGCAAAATCTACTGCTCTCTTATCTCCAGCAAAGCAGAAAAGGTCATTTTGTTGACAGGCTGAATTGCATTCGGTCATAAAGATCTAGTAAGTGATTAGCATTCCATTTTTATAAAACTTGTATGAGAGTATTGATTTCACCTGTATCAAAGTTCCTAGAGACACGAGCAGGGCTGCATTAGTCAATTTAACTGGGCATATGAGTTGAAACATACAGTATAGGCATATATAACCTGTTCTAAGAGAGCTTAATGCTGACAGCAAAGCCTAAAACACCCAGATGGACTGACACAATCAAAGAGAGCTGTTGTCATAGACTGTGTACTGTCCAGATAGCTCTCCCAAAGGGCTTCAGAGTGACTTTGCAGTAAGACTGTACTGTGGCTAACTCCTGCAATATAGTAAGAGGAAAGGAGATACTAAGATTACATGTGGAGTTTGTATAAATAGTCTTGAAAGATATCACGCTATTTCAGGCTATTTTTAGGGGGTTAGTGAAGAGGGTTTGGAAAACCAAACCAAAACAAAATGCACCAGAACAAACCTGAACAAAACAAAACTATTTGCATAGAACTTGCACTGATGGCTAGGATGGCCTGTCCATTCGTACCTGACAAAAAGTGTAAGATGAATGGTGTGTTTGCACTTCAGTCACATAGCTGTTTATTATTAAAATTTAAGAAAGGGGCTATCAACTTTAGAGAAACATAATTAAGGTTTACTGACAACCCCCCCCCCTAAATCTTTGAGATAAGAACTGCAAACTTAATTCTAAAAGCTATATTAGAAACTTTACAAATGACAGTAACATTCGCACAACCGTGAAGGGGTGTGTCGTATCTTCAGTCAAAATGAGGACTGAAATTATATGAAGGAGGTTGTGGTGAATATTCATTCCACTCCTTTGGCGGGGGAGAGGATGTGCATGGGGTTCATCAATCTATGAAAACTTTAACACAGCATCAGAACCCACATACTGGAAAGACACGAGTTCTGAAACAGGCATCTCTGTAGGATGCTTGCCTTAAGAGAAGATCCCTCTCCTCGTGATTCTCTTTTCTCTTTGGCACTGAAGTAATTTTTTTCTAATGTGAGGTCCACTGCCAGCACAGGGCACAGCAGGAGTTGGCACAGCTTCAAAAGATATTTTATCATTTTGAGTATGATACTGAGGTTGCCGTGTTTTTCTCATTACAAGTTCAAAGTCCACCTCCCCACACCCAAACCCACTCATGTCTTGAACATCTCATCTGTTTCTATAAGTGCATCAATCAAGAAAAATCTGCACTGCACAGGCAAAGGAAGAAAATCATGTGCTGCTAAATGATAAAACTATTCTGAAAACCTGTTGAATCCAGATGCTGCCAAGAAAATTGACTATTCCAGTTGAAAACAAGGCAAGTGTCAATGGTACATGTCACAGTGACACTGTATATTCAGTATCAAATATATTCCAGGTATAGAAAAAATACTTTTTCTATTTTCCATGAGTAAAAACTATCAGTGCATAGAAGTAGATAAAACCTTGATTTCCTACTGCACAAAACTATTGCACTATAGCTAAAAATGAGTCATTCCACCTAGGGTGGCAGTGTATCCGGTTAGTTTTTACTTGATTAGTTCACATGAAAGTAGAGAAGGGAAACATTCACAGGGATCTTGATGAACAACACTATGGGATGATTCCTACCATGTTGCTTTGAGACTGTGTTGCCCCATACATTGTAATGCCATTTGATGGTGCTGCTAACTGTGGTGTATCTGGCTGTAAAAATCCTCTTCTGTCAATTAAGCTACAGAATTAAGCAAAACAAATTATTAGAAATATTCGTGATCAGTAACTCTACAGATACAGAAAAACATTTACAATACTTTAATACATTATCAATACTTTCAAATGTGTCCCATAGTTCAGATAAATGTTTAAAATTTATTTCATTTTATTTTTACTAACCAACAGTAAAAGAAAAGTTATTTATTTGCAATTGTTTCCCTCCATGTGGTTATAAGAGCTGACACTTCTGGGCTTTAGCCACGGGCCTGTGTTTTAGCAGCTGAATAGCAAATTCAAGGACTTCTAAATACCCAAGAGGGGAAAAGACTGCAAGCTCCCACAGCCTACTGGGGTCTATTTTGAGGGCTCTCAGTGCTATTTATAGTCATCGTGTAGATCACTCTCAAACAGCCTGAGTCATCCATTGTAGCCATCATCAAAATCATGTTCCTTGTGCATTTTACTACTTGAACCTGGCAGCAGGTGAATCTTAGGTTCCCTTTCAGAACAGTCTTGCTAACTGGTCTGTGGACTAATCTCTTCCTCTGGGTTCATCTCTATTTATAGACAGTAAAGATAAGTGGGGTACAGACGGGCAGAAAGTAGATCCAGAGAATTGTGGCACTGCGACCGGGGGACTTCCTGCATTTGAGGCTTCCAGCAAATAGGTAAATTGAAACAGAGTGTAAAAGGAGAAGAAGGGCATAGGAGATGAGTAGTGACAAGGTAAGCTTCATACCTGGACATTCAGTTTCAACGTTGGACTGTGTATGCTGGGGGTTGAGCTAAATGGCTAAGGGGTTCACAGTATAGTTAGCTAGTGGGTACGCATTTTAAGGCATCTTAAAGGTTGACCCTTAGTATAAGGTTAGGTAAATTTTAAATTATATTCTCTTGCTATTCAGCTTCTACATATCTTGCCTATTAGGCAAACCTTTCATAGGATAACTTTACCCTGAGAATTCAAGTGGTACTATACAAGTCAGGTGCCTGCTCCTCTTTTATTACATAACAAACTGATTTTACTATGTAGTAAACATATCATGTATCCCAATCCTAAAACATACTATTCTGCACGTGTCAGCTTTTTTCAATTCTAAAAGGAAACATTGTCTTATCATCTACTGTTTAACTATAGGAAGTGTGAAAAAAATACAGGTCATTCCTCCAAAGAATTTGTCCTGGGATGAAGCAAGTGTCTGTATTATATTTAATTAGACTATTGTATATATTTAAACTGTAGACCAAACAGGATAATATCTTTTTCCAGGAACTGGTATTGTTCCTGTCACATCAGAAAATGACCAAAATGTTACAGTAATAGTACACATATTTTTGTTTCCGTTCCAGACATTTTTAACTAGGGCAGTGCAGTGGAAGTAAAGTCTAGCCTTGGCCCCATGCACAAGAGGAGGTAGTGGCAAGGCTACCAGTCTGGTTCCTTACACTCAACAGTTGGGACACTCATCCAGGATGTGGAGGCCCAGGCTCAATTCTTACCTCTCCCCTGGGAGACTAGAACCCACTTAACTTCCCTCTCCCAGGAAAGTGCCCTAACCACTCTGCTTCAGAGTGTGCTGCTCTCAATTTCTCCTACTGAAGATATTCCACTTCAATAAAATAAATATTCACAAGAGCGGAGACTGGAAACCAAGTATTGTACCTCATCGAGGTGTATACCCTGTGGAGTCCTAAAAAACCTCAAAAAACTAAAAACTTGCATATTACTTTTACACATTTTTACTTGCAATCCCATTACCTAGTTTGCCCCAGCATGTCTGACTGTGGTACAGGAAACAATAAAGCATTTGTTATATTTATAGACAGGTAAAATTGAACACAGAATTCCAGTTGCAGTAGTAGCAATTTTACAGTATCAGCATTAACACCAGTATCTTAAGGGGCTAAGCCAGTCACCCAGAAAGACAAATGAAGAGCTACTAACAGCACCCAGATGTATCAATCTCATCTTTTTTACTTTAACTACTAGGTCACTTTTCCCGTGTTGCTAAAATATGAAGGCTATACTTGTACTTGTTTTGAACTGCAATTACTAGATACTGGAGTGATCACAGATCTCAAGTGATTTCTATCTTAAATTCCAGACCAGTCACTTGAGTGATGTCTTCAAAAGCACCAAGTGACCATAGAGCTAAATCCTATTGAAAACCAATTAAATTTGCTGTGCAGAAGTCATTTTGGTGCTTTTTAAGAGTCATCATTCTACTTCTAGTTATTTTATTCTTTATTTACAAAACCTAAAAAAATTTCAGTATAGCACAGCATTTTAGGAGAGATTGTGCACATGTGCACTATTTCTCCTCCTATTTCCAAAAACATTGTTATACCTCCCCTACTACTTACAAGCATATAGTATCCCTAACCCAACTACAGAAAATTGTTTACACATAAAACTAATATTTGGGAAGCATTTAGCAGACTTTAAATGCAATTTATCATTTGAAACCCCAGGGCACAATTTAGCATCTGCAAGCCTAGAAACACATGACTAGCTCATCTGTTGCCAACCACTAATGCTGTATGCACCAATGTTGGAAAAATCACTTTGCAAGGTGTTTCATAGACACTTGTGAAGATTGTTTTTGTCCTGAAAAAAAAAAGCTTACAATCTAAAGACCCAAAATTCAGGGGAAAGTGAGAAGGAAAAAAAGAATTCACAAGAAATAATGATATTGCTCTGCTTTCTGCAGATAATTAAATATACTCAGATTTCTGTACTATCAACTATTGCTACACTGAACATTCTGAGAAAACCCAAATGAGTTTTAGTTTCACATATATTTTGAAACTTTTTCCAGATCTGATCATGGACTCACAAAACAAAAAGCTTGTCAACTCGTTTCTGTCCTAAGAAGAAAGATTTTGCCAAAGCTATGAACATATGATAATGAAGCCCTGTCCAGTTTAGGTTGACTAAACTGAAGAAGTCAGACATCAGAAGTCAGACGTTGTTAAATCAATAGTGGTGTGGTCTCCTGTGTGCTAAATATTAGGGCTGTGCAAAGCTTCGGTAGCCAATTTGATTCGGAGGAGATTCAGCTCGATTCGGGGGCCGAATCTCCGAATCCAAAGATCCATTTAAAAGGTCTGAATCGAATCAGAAGCCTCCTAGGTGGACCCGGGTTCCGTGCTAGTAAGTAGGGGGTGGAGGGCTGGAGGAGGGTGGGGGGACCATGGGAGGATGCCCCCCCAGCCCCATTCCCTCCCCCAATTGCTGGGCAGTGGGGGGGCAGTAGAGATTGCCCCCGTCCCATGCCTGGCACCCGTGCAGCAGCTGTCGCATCACACAGCTGTAGCATCTCGAAGCTGGGGCAGCTTCAGCAGTCACCCGGAGCGCGGTAGCGCTCAGCCCGAGCAGCCCCAGCTCCTGGACAGTGTGCAGAGCCCCAAAGCATCCTGCTGAGCCGTGCTGCACCCTCGCAATGTGACAGTGGCTGGACAGGGGGGCAGGCAGGGGTGCCCCACACTGCTTGGGGGGCTCTGCCATAAGCCCTCAGAAGCTCTGATGGCCACTGCAGGACCTGGTGAGTGCGGGGCTTTTTTTTAAAGTGCTGGGACGCTGGGGCCAGGTGGGGCAGCCATGGGAGTGGGGTTGGGGTTCGGGAAGCAGGTGGGGGAGTGGGGCCCCGCTCAACACCACCATGCCCCCACTACCAACACTGCTACCAGCACCTGTTCGATTCAGAGGAGATTCAGTGGCCGAATCTCCGAATCAGAATCAGCCAAGTCAAATCAGGACAGCGATTCGAATCACTGCCCCTCCCAATCAGCTGAATCCAAAGCCAAATAGAATACCTGCCGCTTCGCACAGTCATACTAAATATATTTTTCTTAATGCTTACCTTGGTGAGAGGGGCCCACATAGTGCAGCACAACAGTTAGTAAAGATGTTACCATAACTGTATGGGTTGTAGTTCTCTTTACCTCTTTTATTTGACCAAGATCCTTTAATCTGAAGAGAGAGGAAAAAAATGCATTGTATATTATATCATTTGTAAACTCATGAAGGACGTTATGGATAATCAAAGCAAAGTTTTACAATTTAGAACTAGAGGTAAGAAAACAAAAAGTGGTGTTTACATTAATGTAGAGGTTTTAAGTTATATGCTGAGTGGCTGCATGGGTTCTCCAGTATCTGGAATGTATGGCTCTGATCCTACAAAAATATATATGTGCAAATGTATACGGACTCCCTGCAGTCTCACAGGACTATGACAGAGTATGACAGGGGTTGGCAACCACTGAGTAACAGAGGGCCAAATAGCACAGCTTGGCCATATGGAAGGCTGGAACACATAATTTATTATGGAGTTGATCTTCAACAGCAACATGACAATGGATGGCTGCTTCACAAACCATGTGTACAAGGACCACTGGACTCACTCAAGCTCCTTGCAGTCTGTCAACAGTGGGGAAGATGTGCAGAGCACCCACCAGAGAAATCCCTGTCCCCTCCAAGCCCTTGGGAGAGACAGGTCTCCAGCCCTGTAAACCCAAGGGGAGTTGGAGGCAGGCAGCCCTTGCTCATATTGACATAAGCAGGCCCCCTCTGCACTTCATACCCCAGCAAAATGTTCCTATCTGTAGAGTGCCCCTACCTACTTCAATTGAGCATGAACAGCCCCACACTGATCACTACCTCACTGCTCTGCTAGTTCATGTCTTATTTGGGACACGTTCCAGTCTTTGCAGCTGGTCCCCAGCGAGTGGTACACCAAAGTCTGGGTCCGAACAGACTATGAGGAGCATTCCAAAGCATAGCATACTTCTGGATACATTCAAGAGCTGCACTAATCACATGTCCACTCTGTACCACACACTGGCAACAGCTGCAGGAGCAGGGATTGGGACAGAAGCACCAACATGTGCCTAACCAGCCTGACACTTCGTGCAAAATGGCTTCTGGACACAGAGAAACTGCTGCAGCTAAGCGGTTTGTTCTGTGCTGCATGCCAGGCTAGTCATGGACTTGCTTCTGCCTCTGTCCCAGGCCTTGCTGCTGCCTGGCATGTGGTGCAGAATGGGCCACTATGGCTCCCCACACATCCAAAAGTGTGCAGTACTTTGGGATGCTCCTTGCAGTCTGCCAGATCCCAAAGCTTGGCAGGCCATTCTGACCCTTGGAGTATGAAGATTAACACATAACCAGGTTTTTGCATAAAAAGAGTGACTTTAATTTAAGAAGATAGCCACTTTATCAAGATTACAAAATACTCTGGAGAAACACTGGAAGTACAATGTACAATTATAAATAACTAACAAGAATACTTGTCCATCATATTCTTTAGCCCTTCAGCTTCCATGAAGCAAACAAGCAAAGGTTATTATCCACTCTTTCAATTTCAGCCTACTAAATCTGGAGTAGAGGCTAGTAAGGAGTATTTTGCAATCTTGCAGCTAGGACCCCAGGAGGGGAAACAAATTCCATGTTCTCCCTTATGAATTCCCTGATGTAAAACCAGTAATTTCTATTTTGACCATGAAAAGCCTAATTATTTGAGCTTTTTGTGGCGAAAAGGTGAATTAGTGAGCTCCTTAGTCTAAGTAAGCAGTCTTGCTGTAATACCTTGAAAAATGCATGTCTTTACTTAATGCGAGTAAGCACTTTACTTGGACACAGGCATGTTGCACTGTCACTATTCTTTATCTGAGAGCTTGCCAAGACTCCTGAAGAGCATTTTATTTGACAAAATGAATGAAAATTAGTTTGTCTAGAAAGCCAAGGCTGGCTTCAATTCAAAACAGCCATGGACTGTTACTTCACTTTATCTTTCTTGTCTTACTGAACAAAAACAGGTGTACTTCTTTGACTGGCTACTTGCCTGGATATTTAGCACTGAAGAATGCTACACCCTGCATCTTTATCCTCTGTAGTTTATAAAATACAGAAATCACAAATAAGCTTTTAAGCAATAACCAAAATACATCCAAACAAACACAAAGAGCTATGTTTCAGGTTATCAATCAACTATGAAAAGGACTATAATAAAATGCATAAAAATAAGCATGGTTTTATGCAATTCCTTCAGAATTTCATGTTGTTATATTTAGTTTAAATAGCTAGGCTGAACCACGAGCCCTTGCACCATTTGCTAGTTAGCTGCTTCTCCTTTTTAAACTCATATTTCTTAGAGCAATAATTTGTTTAGGAGAAACATGTTTCTATCTCCATAATTAGTTAGACAAAGCTGGAACAATGGAACAGATAAATCCAAATTACATGTGCAACAGATTGTGGAAACAGATAAGGCTGACCTAGAAAAAAAAGATCTTTGTCTTACAGTGGAAAACTGGCCTCAAGTTGCCAGAAGAAGTCAGAGACAAGAAACTATGGAACTTTTGAGACCTAAATTGGCAGGTACCTTTCAAAACTCTGTTCAAAGTCAAATAATTTAAATATTTTTAAATGCACGATTAAGGAGTCCAGTAGAAAACCAGGAGGTACTATAAATTACTGGTTATTTTTCTAGTAAACTTAAAGCATTATGTAGGATTTTTGAAGTACGAGTATTGGCTTACTTGGTTGGTTTGTTTTGTGTCTATCCTTTCTTTTCTTTCATTTTCTGTTTCCAGACATGCATCTAACTAGTGTAAGGCATGCTGGATACACTAAAAACTTAATGATTTTTTAAACCACTATTGTGGTCCATGATGCTTCCTTTGATACACTGCATCAAATATTACTTAGTTTCTACCTCACTAGAGCCCACTCATATAAATATATATATATATACACACAGTTCCCATTTTGCATTAAATAGGAGTGAAACCATACAATATATACAATTAGCACAAATGCAACTTTCATATTTACTATATGAAGCAGATCAAGAACTTACATCTTCATTTGTTGTTTGATTGGAGCTGATCAAATATGTGTGAAAACCTGAGAGACCAACAATGGACCAAACAGAGAAAAAGCATACCACAGCTTCCAGCACAGTGAGTAAAAGTCAAGGAAGTATAAACAAACACAAAATTTGCATGCAATCTAGTAATTATGAGCACTCACCTAGTCCTTTGGATCTGTGAAGTTCTGCACTTTGATCTATGCAACACTCACAACACCCATATTACTCAGGGATTTTGACTGTGAAAAACAGAGGCACAGGCCAAGACCACGAACTGCCCAAGGCCATTTGCTAAATCAGTGGCAAAGACAAAACCATAACTATTGTTTGTACTAGTTTATAACTAGTACTGATAGATGCTGCAGCAATACAAATTAGATCTCAGGAGACTTCCTGTTGCCAGTCATGTGTGCTAGGAGATCAGACTGTCTTTTCTTCTGTCCCTGAAGTCAAGATACTGATCAAGGGTCCCACATTTTTATGATCAGACCAAAAGTAGTGAAAAAAACAAAAACAAAAAATCCACTTGCTCTCCTTTACCAGCCTGCCAAATAAATGATGAAGATGATGGAATATACTTTACTGTTCCATCTGAGACCTGAAACACCCCAAATAAAGCAACTGTGGAATGTGCAGGGCTTGTTTACAGTGTTTAATCTTTTCAAATTTTCGGATTGTAAAGCACGTAGCTGAAAAGCACCAAATGTATTGATTCTATTATGATAAACACAAGGTTATCACTCAATCATGCCTCAACACTATTTTTAAAGATGATATTAGTCATTTTCCTTTTTTGTAGTTCTGAAATGCCTTCTTTCTTTCCCAGAGATGACCACCAGACAAAATGATGAGTAATTAGCTTTTCCTAAGACATTTATGTCACCATGAAATTAGTCAGCTGATAGGGTGCTGTAAGTACACAGCATATTACAACATGCCTTTGACTATGCCTAAATGACATTATCTCAATTAAGATGCCACATTTTGCTCCTAAAGAAAGCAACCATTACAGCCAGGCTTTCTATTGATAGTGTATTTACATATTTGACATGCTATAGCTAAGCACTTAAAACTCTTACTTTCTGTTAATATATTATCTGGGATAGGCTAATAGGAGGATTTAGCCAGGAAATATAAACCAAGAGGAGAAAAGGCTCTGGCTTCTACAAAAATGTATGATAAATCAATAAAGCATGTGACACTTGGGGAGGGGGGGAGAATAGGATAAAAATTATTCTGTACACAAGCATTAATTAAGACCAGTTTCCAAGACAACATTTCTCAAAATATTCAAGAACAAGGACATTTTAGGTTTCAACATGCACAACTTGTAACCTCATTTATTAACCTCTTAAATGTACACAATTCCCTTCACACTATGAAAAGACCAAACTCTAAAAATGAAATATCATGGATGACCTGATCCCTTAAAAATTAAAACAAAATCCAAATGTATGCAAGGCAAAGGGTCATAAAACAGTTTTGCACTTTAGCACTGCTATGCTCCAATGAATGGGGGCCATCCATCTAATCTGTTATTATTCTGTTGTTGCCAAAAAGTAACTATAACTCTTTTTGGCCCCGTCACCTAATTTTGCTCAAATACAGTATAGTATAAATGGCAGAAATATTCATACTCAAGCAGAAATGGAAGATGAGCCAACAATTTATTAGTTTTTTCGGAGAATATAAATACTTATCAGTGTGTAAAGAAAAGTTTTGCTCAGGATATAGGCAACTCAACTTGAAACATTCCCCTTCAGCAACAGAATGGATGAAACCAAGATGGATTCCTGAGCAGCAGTTGTGCTACTTTTCTTTCTGTCCCTCAGGAGATACTTGCGGGACACAGGTGGGCAAAAAAAGAAAATTTGCTTTGTGGATCAAGCAGAAATAGCAACAGCACAACTTGTGTGGCAGGACAGGTAGATTAAAGGAAATTCAGAAAACCTGGTAGGAAAGCAGGCTGTTGCTGACAGGGGCTGAGAAGCAAATGAGAATGGGGGAACAGTCTGCAAACAGCAGGCACAAGGCAACCATGGAAATTGGGCTGCTGGCACAGCATGATAGAGCCTCTAAATGAAACCACGAATGGTGGAATTTAGCCTGGCTAGTAGAACCTATTAGCCCATTTTCAAATTGCTCTCAGAGACAGATGAACCAGGTCTAAGGAATGCCAGTTACTTGCATACATAGGTTGGATATTGGGAAGAACTTTCTGACTATGAAGGTAGTTAAGCATTAAGACAGGCTACCTAGAGAGGTGGTGCAATCTCCAATCTTGGACATTTTTAAGAGCAGGTTAGACTTGGCCAGGGTGGTTGGGTCAGGGATGATCCTGCCTGAGCAGTGTTGAATGAGATGACTCATAAAGTCCCTTCCACACCTGAGTCTATCGCTGTTTTTGGACTGTCCCACCAGAACAGTCAAGCAGATCCGTGTTAATCTTTCATTGTAACTGACTAGAAAGTTGTACCTCACTATTTGCAACTTTTCCTTTGTGCTAGCCCTAGTGAATTATCCCTCTCTTCTACCTATTGACAGGAACACTTTTCAGGAACACATAAGATGCTTAAACCAACAGGGCCTAGTAGCTCATTTGTCAATGAAACCTTCCTCCTGAGACAGTGGTTCACCTAGTGTCCTACACCAAATGTCTGAAAAAGATTTGGGGCACTATATCATTTAGAGCAACCTGATTGAAGAGGTACCATTACAGAACATTCCCTTGTGATCTGGACACTGATGGTGTTAATTAATTATGCAAAAAAAGATATTAGGACAAACTTTCTTCTTATAATGGTGGTTGAGCACTGGAACAGATCAACTAGAAAGGTTGGGGAATCTTGAGGGGTCCCTTCTGTTAAATTTTTGTGACTCCATAGCAGTTGGGAGTTAGACTAGCCCACAGAAGACAGCACACACAACTACAATGACTGGTAATCTTATTGTTCTGAGCAAGGAGCCAAACAAAGCAAACATGGTGCCTGGAGAGGCACACAAAGTTACAACATTTAAACAAACAGTGCCACATATAATAGCTACTGAACTCTTCCACCACACCTTCCAGCCCTACTTTTCTATGATTCAAACTGTTTCAGAGCATCTCACATTGTGGTATTCCTGCATAAGCTCTTCAAAGATTATCACCCACAATTTCTGAGATACATGTACATATTAAAGAATTTAGTATCGCAACACTCCAGGTAAGGGAGAGAAGCATTAGCTCAAGTCAACAGGCTGCAGCACAGCCTGTTCCTTCTGTAATTCAGACAGATCTAATTGAATTTGCAATATGGAGCCCTCTGAAACATGCTACCCTATGCTCCCTACCCAAGTGGGACAAAGGGAAGAAGATTCTGGAGATGGGAAATAGGAGCTTCCTGGAACCTCACCACAAGGCGTTCACAAGAGTGTGTCTCCTAAGAGTTTCCTGACCTACAACTACAGCCTAAATGCGCCACAGAATGGAATCTTTATTGTGTCCTTTCACTTAGCAGATGCTGCCCTAAGCTAGGGACATCTGCCATGAACAATGGCCTTAGTGGGTGACGGTCTAGAAGGTGACCTTCCTTCTCTGAACATAATAATGCCTCAAGTGAAGAAGGTAGGGCTTTTCCAGACTTCTTTCAAATAAAAACAACAATCAAGAACAAAAGGGCTTTCTTGTATTTTTTTTAAGGTAAGCATATGTCTCAATGTCCTTAAAAGGAACAAAAAGGCAAATCACCCAAGTACTGAGTTTAATACTCATCTAGTTTAGACCAAAGTAAATATCTGGGGAAATAGGTAAGTTATAAAAAAATATATGTTTTGCTTAGCATACAGAAAGCTATGTATTTTACACTGTGCTCATAAAGATGAAAATGAGAAAATAAAAAGATGGAAGGCCATTAATTATTTTGAATAAAGATAACTTATACATGTCTGTTGAATACATAGCGGTTACCGCAGTCCTTGAGTATGGTAATATTGTGCAAGACAGCTAGCATCTTGAACAACTCAGTTTGTCACATAGCTCAATAACAATGCTATCTGCTGAACACCAAAGTTTTAAACATTCATGATTCGACTACCTTGACCCAAAGCAAAATTCCTGGTACTGTTAGGCAATTTTATATTTTTATTTTTAGGAATATCAGCCAGCCCATTAAGCTGTCTAACACATTAAAATCAGGCTGTTTCTACACGATGCTCTACTGAGCTTTTTAAACTGGCAAGCCCTTGAAAGCAAATTATGAATAAAAAGCCTATTGTTTCCGTACAAGGATCCACAAATGTGGAATCAATTACCTTTTGATTTAAGAATAAATGGAAGCTTTTCCATTTTGGGATAACTGAAAGACTAATCCATTATTAGAAGTGATTGAAATTCTTTTAATTGGAAGCTATTGTTGTGCTCTTTAGGATAGTTTGTGATTCATAAAAAACAATGCCCTTGCTTAAAACGGGAGTTTGTATTTCGGAGATTCTGAGATGAATACACAAATCAGGGAACATGACAGAAGTTAGGTCTGAAAAAATTAGAAAGTGTGACACTTAGCAATACACAGAGGTGGAGAGCGGAAGCTTCCTTTATGTACTATACCTTTTTTAAAATCAATGTGTTACTTATCATCAAGATGAAAAATAAACAATTAAGAGTGAAGTCAAGAAATTTCCATGACGCTTTTTTTTTTGCAGAATATTTTCATATGCATTCTCTCTGTCCTCCTTATTAACTGGGGGTGGGGGGAGGCAGGGGAGTGTTGTACATACATCTCAGCATACTCTACAGATCCCCCTAGTCTGCCTGGCAACAGATGGCACTAGTGCATAGGGCAGCTCTGATTAGCTGACCCATGGTCAGCCTGTATTTCCCTGCAGCAATGTGAGGATTGTGAAGGGGACATGTTTCATTTCATGCTGCAGCAGCAGAGTCCAGCAAGCAACACACTGTCTCCCAGGGGAAGGAAAAGGAAAATGCTAGACGACTATGTCTTCTTCTGAGAGAAGCCACAACATGCACAGGCATTCATGCTCCCAGAAGGAACTCTCCTGTGCGTGATTTAACTCTAATTGTTCCCAGGTTATTTTTCTTCTGGGGTGGCCATTTTTTCTCTGGGAGAAAAAGCCTGAACAACTCTACACTTGAGGTTTCTCCTTGGAGAACAGCGACTCTCCCAGGATAAACTGAATGTCTCTATGAGGCCTCAGGAAAAAAATTAAAGGATTTTTACACTGAATTTGTGAGTGGTATAAATGGTTTCTCACACCTGATCCAAAAACAGGAACAGGGAGTTAGAAGAGCTATAATTCCCCACAGAAGTTTAAGCAGGAAGTCAAAGAGTAAGGCTGGCAGCTCCCCCCATCTTTCCTTCTTGTTAGGAAAGAACAAAAGCCCTAATCTATGCCTGACAGACAACTAGTGAAACTAGCAGGAAGCTGCTGAGAAGTGTTAAAAAGCAACAGTGATATTGAACTATATAGATAGAGGCAGTGTAGGGCAAAATCTAAGTACTTGAAAATATGATTTCTAGACACAGTAAAATATATCCAAAAGAACAGACTAAATTATCAGTAGGAAAATACTTCAGCAAGATTAGATTGTTGAATTTTAGTTTAAGTTTTTAGATGTTTTATAATAGACTTCTACTATTTTACCACCAAGAGTCAATGAGTTTTAGATAACTTTCTTCTTGAGAGTCTGGACAAGTCCATTTTAAAAAAAGGAGTGAATACAGGATGATGTAATTTACTTTAATCTGGTGTAAAATTATCCAGGGAAAAATATGTTATAAAACTATACTAGCATGTGTGTGGTCTATCCACAGTTTATCCCAGAGTAGCAGTTTGCTCAAAGCAAACAGTCTATTAGCTTCCCCTCCCAACCTATGGGAAAGGCACTGTTATACCTGACTTTTATGTGTAGCTACCTTGGCATAGCTGCACAGCTGTCTGTTCTGGTGCAATCTGAATTTACATACAATGATATAAGTTACACTGATGCAAAATGTGCAGTACATCTAGGACCTGATTAGTATAGAGCAGCGGTTTTCAACTTCTTTTCATTTGCAGACCCCCATTCCTAATGGAGGTGAAAATCTCTTTGGAAGTTTCAAATGGAGGTGCAGACCCTTTTGATGGATCATAGTCACCTTTTGCGGACCCCTTAGACATAGTCTACAGACCATAGGCTGAAAACCACTGGTATAGAGCATTTAAAACTAAATAATTCACAATCCATAGTTTTCTCTTGAATTGGCTCTGAGAATTCTATAACAGTTAATAGGCACTATATATCTTTACCTAGAGAAGATCTATCTCCAAAAAATGCAAGATAGTCAAAATAAGTTTGCCTAATCCAGGGACGGGCAATTATTTTGGGCGGAGGGCCGCTTACTGAGTTTTGGGAAGCCTCGAGGGCCGCACGACAAGCAGCCAGGGGCATCATAGACATCATAGACATCAGGGCTGGAAGGGACCTCGGAAGATCATTGAGTCCAGCCTCCTGCCCAAAGGGCAGGAAGTCAGCTGGGGTCATAGGATCCCAGCAAGATAAGCATCCAGTTTCATCTTGAAGGTG